GTGTGTGTGTGTGTGTGTGTGTGTGTGTGTGTGTGTGTGTGTGTGTGTGTGCGTGTGTGCGTGTCTGTGCACATGTGTGTATGTGTGAGTGATACAAAATTCATAATGTTTTTGGGTACTTAGTTTAAATCACGTGAAAGAAAAAGAGTAAAGCATCTATCAATGTTAATAAGTAGCACTTTTTCCGATCACACGGCGGTTTTTCTTCTCTATTCTTTATTTTTTAATAAAGTTTGGGTAGGTCTGTTTTAACCAAAAAACCTCAATAACGTTTGAACATTCTCACAGACATGGAGCCTTTGGCATGTTGCCAAGACAATGAACGTCTGTTTTTATCAATGATATAAAGCATTGGTTTGGTTTTAGCCAAAATACAGTATTGTCAACAGTTGTCTCCGTTTTTCGCATGCTCTCCAACTCATCAACCAAAGAAATCGATCCAATTTTTTCAAAAGAAACCAACTGGCCCGCATCTCAACTGCTTTTTAGACCTGCTTCTAGCCTCGATTTTTTGTCCAGACCCACTATCTTCTCATTCCGTTGATGAAATCTTATCTCTCAGTCGAAGTTTAGAAATAAAAGTAACAGGGTTCGGGTGGTTTGATTCTTAAGTTTGATTAGGAGAGAGGGCTATTGAAATAAGGAAAAAAACGTCTCCCCTGCAATTGAATTAAAATCAAGATAAATATCCGTATTTATGCAATTGTTTCAAACTAGTGATATCCAAGCACCCAATTCATCCAGAAGTAGAATACTGTCAGCGCTACAGCTCACGTCACCTGCAGCGGCTGGGATGCTACCCGGGCGTTAAAGTGAGGACATGTTTCACGAAAAAAAATCGGCCAAATGCTACTGTGATTGATCCCATTGTCGCTAACAGATACAATATATCAATTTATTAAAAGCTTCCGTGTCTCAAGTACTCCTGCAAAAAGTGTCACGGGGAAGGACTCGGCATAATAATAATATGATTAACCTCTGGCAGACAAATTCTCAAGAGCTACTGTGTTCTTTGGAACTAGAATTGTTCCAACGGACAAGTAGTTTGCGACCCATAAAAAGACGTTCAAACCCACATCCAAAATTATGAGAGGCAATGGTAGAGCGTAAAGTAACCATAATTGGACCGTTTACCCCCCCCCTCCTCCCCCACCCACATACACACAAACTATCCTCTCTCTGTCTCTGTCTCTGTCTCTCTCTCTGTCTCTCTCTCTCTCTCTCTCTCTCTCTCTCTCTCTCTCTCTCTAACACACACACACACACAATTCATTTCCAATCTTGGGGATTCTAGTAGAGTTTTGGATTTGTTTGGGGTTAAGGAGGCTCTGGTTAAATGTGATAATAGTGCACATGGTATAATAAAAAAGTAGCGTTACAGTCATATAAGAATGGTTTTAGATAATGATGCCCACTGTTACTTTTTGACAGGTAGGGCCATGGAATGTCAGCCATTATTTGTCATGTGAGCTATTTTAAAAGGCAGAGGAAAAATAATCAACATTATCGAAGAGGGTGGCAATCAGTAAAAATATAAGCTTTTCCTGAATGGAAATAGCGTAGGACCCACCATGTATGGCGATTCTAACAATTGCAAAAGAGAAAACGATGAAATAGTGAATAAAAAGTTGCTGCACAACTTACCCCAGCCAATCAGATAAAGGAACAGCAAGGACTTTGGTGGCTTGAAGGCGTTGCTGATGAGGCGATGAAGGTAAAAACCTTCGCAGAACATCCAGACATAGGTCGTGCTCTTGGAGTAAAGACGTAGAAAGGCCAAGAAGGTACACCCGCCCTGGAAGAGAGGCAGGATACAATTAAGAACTCGCCACATTGACAACTTGTTTGAGATAACTAATGCAGACACACTCAGGCATTTTTCGTATATTTTATTATGTTGCAAAAGAAACATCTCAAATCTAAGAAATGGACCCCCCCCCCCACAAAAACAGACAAACAAACCCCAAACAAATCAAAGACTTTTCACTAATTTTCGTGACGATAAATGACAGGGATACGTTAATCCGTAATAGATAAAAAGTCAATATTGAGTCATTCTAAAATTGTTGATGAGGTTAGACCAAAGTCATGTGGATACCTACCGTAACTGGTCTATTTTTTGTTTATTGTGAGCGTGACTAAACTTGTAAGCTTTTTGATTTGTAACATCTAAGCTTACTGGTTTGAAAAAAAAAACTCCAGCGTGAAACAACGGTTAGTTTCAGGGTAATTTTTCTTTCATAAAATTTTTAAAATTTGTCGTAAATGTTTTAAGACCCAAAGTTTGGAGTATCAAGATCTTCTGGTCGGATGACCTCTTCAATCTGTCTGTCAGAACAAATCTGGCATGCAACGGGTTGCACTTCCTAGATGAAAGATGGAGACACTTGATTAGACAACTTTATCAATAATTGTAAAGAGCATACTGTAGAGCATGGGCATATGCTATACAAATGCAGTTCTTATAATTACTATTACCGTTTAATGAGAATCAAACACAAGTCTTTTGTGGCTAATTAGAGGGCCATAACCATACAGCACAGATTCTTTATTCAGAATCACGTAATGAATGACAGAGTGGGCAACGGAAGAGTTTTCCACCTCCTCTCTATCGCGACTGGCGTACCCTCCAATGGTTGAGAGTGACGAGTAAGCACACTGCACTGAAGACGGAGGTGCAACCTCTCGCATGATAGAATAAAAACAAATTGCTACGTTGTTCATATCTGACAGAGCATTCATTGGTTTGGCGTCTCGTCTATGCTTTTTGCTCTTTCTTCTCCTTTTTGTATACACGAAGCAAAGTGCACTCCCTTTGAAAAAAATTATTTCTGTCCAGTAAGGGGTTAATCATCCAGTTCGATTTATCTCCACGCCAATTCTAGAGCCTCTCCCTCTCCCATGTCATTTTTGTTTTCTCTGTTTCACCGTTTCGTTTGTATTATGATAGCGATGAGGAATTGATCGATGTTTTTCATTATTGTAACAAAAACAAAAATATGATGATTGGTGCATCGATTTATCGACCCTTTAAGGCCAAATTATGATTGCATCTGTATGAACGATCATCCCTTGATTGTATTACAAACTATATCGAGCATAGCAAAACATCCCAAAGATACTGGTGCTAAACAATAATTTTGTTCACAACTTAAATATTTGCATTAAAGAAATAGCTAGTGTACATGCCTTTTTGTTGAAATGGTTCATTCCGCTTTGTTCGATATCAACTAGATTCTTGCAGGCACTAGTGACAAAAATAACCAAAGGACAATAAAAGAATTATTTCAGCGTTTTTTGTGTACATGGTCATTGACACATGTTTCAGTTTTAGGCAAACAGGCTATGGCACTAGGGCGCATTGGCACACATAATCAGCTTAGCAGAATTTATCTTTGACAAATGCACATACACACACAAGCTCTCGCAAACACACACACACACACACACACACACACACACACACACACACACACACACACACACACACACTCACACACCTAACCCACATCTCTCTTCCCATATCCCTTCACCCTGTCCCTTCCTCCCATCACTCGTCCCCCTATTCCCCGACTCCAATCCCTTTTCCCCTTTACCTATTTCCTTCCCTCGGCCACCCCCCCTCCTCTAACCTCCATCTCCTATACTATCAACCCTCATCACACGGGCATCACCTCAAATGCCCACAGTTAGAGTTAGCAATACCGCCAATACCTACCATTGGCTGCGGTAGTACCGCTGCTGTGCCTACGATAGGTTCGACTAAATTGCTATTAATATAAGAAAATTTAATATGATATTATGAACTTAAAAACGTGTTCATTTTTATGGGTTATGTTGCATAGAGAGTGAGTTGCATAGTATGCCGTGCCTAATCACTGTAGCTTAATACTAGTTGATTACTTTTTGTGATATAACCCAAGGCACTTATTTATAGAAGACATTCTATACAATACTATTTTGTAAGCGTCTGGTCTGCTTTCTTAGTTACTGGCTTTTCTTTTACACATGTTTTTTTTTTTCGCTGAAGGTAGGTAATAAGATTTTATTGACTGATCCCAACAAGTTCGAGTGGCTGAGGGTAAAAAAACCCCCAAAACAACAAACACATGCGTTGAGAGCGTGAACCGGAGGTCAACGTTTCGTACACACAGAGGTCGTTTCTATAAGATCAGCTCAATTTCGCTGGCATTGTGGGGTTAGGTTGAGGGTATTGGTGGTTAATGGGCTGTCGGTTAAGAGGGGATAACGACGTTGCCAAACCCCTAAGATCAAACAAAAAAGTAGCTTGCAATGAATTTGTATGTTTATAAACTGACGTTTATGAAACACAGAAATGTTCTTTTACACCCAGACCTGCTCTGTTGCTCAATTCTAGAGTCTGGCTGTAAAAGGGTAAAGGCAAATAGTGATTGATTCTAATAAATTATAATGTCAAATACGCAATTCTAATGAATTGTTATCCCTCCTGCAAGAACTTGCCTCGTCACTCATTGGGGCAGAGGAAGATAGGACTATCGCTAACATTACTTAAACGCAATCCCACACCATCACTCATCACCACCATTATAATTTCTAAAATTACCATTGCTCTCAGATGAATGACTTGCTTCTTTAATTCTTGAATCTCTATATTGTAACAGTTACTTGTCGTACTAAATATACATGTAATACACTATTGGACACTATCATACGCACTACTAATGGCGTCAATCTCATAAAAATAGGAACGGGTTTAAAAAACAACAACTCCACATTTTTGTACATAATGTGAGACAGATTCCCCATTTTGTCCTCATGGATAAGTACGTGCAGGAACGGAGTTCGTGAGCAGCCAAATGTATGCATATTCAGATTCGTTTTTCTCCATTTTGTCTCAATTGTTCCACATGCTTTTGGCTAAATGAGACAGCTAAAAGGCGTTAGGAGACAGTTCCCTGCAAAGGTTGTATCTATCTGCGTGGAACGTAAAAATCTAAGGCTCCTCGTTCTTATAATTTATTATATTACTTAGCTATTTTCAGCGGGCAGCGTGTCTGAAAGCGAAAGATTTCTAAAGAGATTTCTCTAAAAAAGCTAATATCTATCTATCTATCTATCTATCTATCTATCTATCTATCTATCTATCTATCTATCTATCTATCTATCTATCTATCTATCTATCTATCTATCTACTGACCAGTCTGTATGCCTGTCAATGTATTTGTC